CTAAAGATGCAGCTGCAATAGTCAATTGTTTCATCTGTTCATTTATGTTTGTACCATTTATTTTGAAGAAGATGAAGATCTACATTACAGCGAAGGTAAAGATCAGGAAGACGAGAATAGGATCAAACACCAACCCTTCAATGTTGATAGTACCCGAATACAGGTACTGCAAACAAAAGATACAGATGCTACTTCAAGAAGCATCATATTTACGTGTTTTCGTAATCAAGATTTACATCCAAATTTGTGATCATTCCATTTGGGATGATTATGATCAAGCCCTTTATTCATTTACTTACTTCAATTTACAAGTTGCGATTTGGTGGTCTGATTTTTGTCCTTTTTTTCCACTTGAAATGATAAGAATTGGCCTGATGTTTCACTACATCGATCATCTTTTAAAAGTAAGGCCTATTTTTATCTGCGCACATTTTCTCATTGTCCAATATGGTCGCAATGAGGCCACCAAATCGTAGCTTGTAAATTATTGCCTTCAGACTGTAAACAAATTAATTTTATGCTTTCAGCGTGTTTTGGAAAGCGACATTCGTGTTGGATCTTATTCTTATGATGTCAAGAAAGAGAAGTGGTGTGAAGTGTCCTTGAAGGTAAGCAGTGCTGTGGTATACCTGACCAGGCCAGCTCAATGTAAGCACATGGGCTTATACGAGATTTAATTCTCAGGACAACATGATTTCTTGCAGTAATGTTAGCCTTTTCACCGTTGCCATGTCATTTTCCTGGTCACAGTACTCTTGCTCACAAGCTGTCATACATGCCAATTGGTTTTAAGGTTCCTTTAAATCCTAGCCTAAGAGATTTCCAGCTGAAAAACAACCTAAGAAAACGTAATGAGAATAACACATGGATGTTTGGGTATTAACATGAGTAGAAATTTGTGTCTCTATAGTTGTCACATCTGTTGCAGTAGGTGTTTTAGTATAAACCTATCAATAGTCCTTACGATGTATTTCGGCCACTACATGCCATTACAAATGTTGCATGGCTCAGGATCGCTTGTGAGGAGACAGTTTTCTCAGAGCCCACATTGCTATGCTATAGTAAGAGCACCTTAACGATCATATGCCACTTGTATTGTGGTCTATATGCTGAATAGGCTGCGATATTATGCCATGTGTTCTTCATCCTCTCCTTTACCCCATCTGAAGGTTTTTCTTGACTCCTCCATAAAGCCAGCAAAACAAAAAGACCCAATAACTATTTAGCACCCTATATCAGACATTTACTGTATACACTTCAACTTTTTTCCAGTTTCCTGTTACAAGCTACAAAATACAAGTGTCATCACTGATAGAGAAACTTGCCCATCAGGTCTGTGAGAAAAAGTCGAAGGCAAATTATTTATTGGAAAGAAGAGCAAATACAAATTTAGAATCATATAATCCTAGTGTTGTGTGAAATGTTTTTGTTATATAAACTGCAATGCTTTACAAGGATTTCCAGCCCTGAGAAAAGCCGTAATTGAACACGTGTTAAATTGCGATAATATCACTATGATGACGTAATGGTTGATATCGTGTTTGACCCTTTAACTGTACTTAAATTTGTTGGTGTATGATCGAAACATCTTCGGATCTTCCGCGGAATTCTCGCACGCTATTCAGAAAAGTTCTTATGGCCTTCGGACAACTTTTGGATAATCTTCGGAAAGTGGTCGGAAATATTCACAAAATCGTCAAAAAGGTCGTTATTAGTATGTTGATATAGTAAACAAAATAATACATGGTTGCTTGTAGGTACGAAATTTATCTTCTCTTGTTCAACTTTATATCTCACGAATGAGCGCAGCGAACGAGTGAGAATTCGAGTTGAATACTCGAAGGGAAATTCCATGTCTACGCGGGCCTATGCATTATTCTCTATATCTTACATTAGTCTCTTCGTTAATAACTCAAATTCAGCTATTTGTTAGTTTGCCCTGTTAGTAATGGCTACTCTTGTGTTGTAACAATGTAAATTTAGTTGTGGTTATACAAGGCTCTTTACCTGTGTCTCGCACAGGTACAAATTAACTCCGTACTTGAGGCTAATAAGTCAGTGCAACTTGAAAATTAATAGCGTGAATAAAACCTTCTTGACATAAAAGGACATCTACAAATTTTGGCGGTGTAATGCGTCTTTTTTTTATTATTATTGTTTGTTGAAGTATCAGCAACTTATACAAAATTTGTTTACCACCGTTGCTTTTTCTACAGAGTGTTGTTTATGAAACGCCAAAGATAAATCGTTGTTTTTTGATCGAAAACAATGATACAGCAGTCCTAAAAACAGAAGGAGTTAATTTACAGGTGAGTGACAGACCAAGAGATCGAGAACCACATGATTTATAAGTTCTTGCCCTTTTATGAACAGAAAAAACTGATATTACTGGCCAAACTGCTAGATCCTTTGTCCCCGGATAGCAGCAGATGACTGGACATTTGTTGATTTGGAGATTTCCTCTTTTGAAAACCACTCATTCATCCAATGCTCACTTCTCAATAGTAATTTCAAATTTTCACAAATAGATAGCCCAGATGACCTGGGAATTACTGTCGTATATCTTTTGTTTGTTTTCAGAAGCTTCCTCTTTGTAAATAAGCTCCGGATAGTAAAAACTAGAAAAATACCGTTGAAAACGCACAAACAAACTCATGTTCCCATTTGTACATAATACCTGGAAAATAAAATAAACTAAAATCATGCTTACCATTCTAAACTGATAACTGACTGAGCGACCGAGCGACCTGACTGACCATTGCTAGCGATCCAGCCGACCTGTGATGGACCTGTTGAGACCTGACCGACTCATCAGCCTGACCAACCTAAGTCATTATTTTTTCTTTGTTATCAGGCTGCATGGCGACACGCCGATATATTAGACTTAACAAAGGTATATACGAACGACATTCATGCCATGGCGCGCGTTTATGGGATCGAAGCGGCAGCAAAAGTTATAAAGCAGGTATTTTGCATTTTCATATCTTGCTTCTGAATTTCTCAGTTGTGTATTTTATTAAATTGAAACGACAATGTCAACACATTGTCAAGCACCGACTACTTAGGGGCTATTAATTTTTTTATATTTACCAAGCGATGACAAAATGATCGTCTTTTGCCATTGGTTAAATTCCGTGTCGACTCCATCAACTATTTTGTATCACTGATTTTTTGCAGGAAATAAAGAACGTTTTCAGCGCTTATGGAATCCATGTAGACCCACGTCATCTCAGCCTGGTGTCGGATTACATGACGTTCGAAGGCACCATCAAAGCATTCAATCGTGTTGGACTCGAGTCAAATGCCTCTCCTTTTCAGAAAATGAGTTTTGAAACCACAACACATTTCCTGCGCGGAGCTGTGCTATCAGGAGACACGGAGAAGTTGGCTTCTCCATCGTCAAGACTAGTAGTTGGCCGAGTGGTGGGAAGTGGTACAGGCTGCTTTGAACTGCTGCAGCCGCTATACTGAAGACTCTTGTCATCTGTTATATAACAAATAAAGTTTGGTGTTGCTAAATATTTCCCTGGGCAGATTTTGAGAACAAATCAGTTTTACCGCTTCAGCAGGGACAGTTAAATAATGAGTAAAAGCAGATAGGAGGCATTGCAAGTTAACTTCCTTTTAAATTGCAGTTCCACTGACCCGAGTCTGAGATCATTGACAGATCGTTTACGCCTGTCCACACGTGAATGCTCTGGGGAGCGTTTGCGATGATCAAAATATTCCATGGCATAGAAAATACAGCCAATCAGAATAAAGGAAAGCCGTTGTATATTCGACGTTATGACACCCAACCTTCCCATCATGCTCCGCGCGTATGTCCCACTGATTGTGTTTGGCCTCTGTATTTTCTATGGCATGATATAAAATAGTTATGCGACGCTTTCTCGTAGTATACCATAGAATATTCCACTTGTCGCTTTTATTTTCTTGGTATACCGAGAAAATACAAGTAACTGGTGGGATATTCCGTGGTATACTACTCGAAAGCGTTGCATCACTAGTATGTATACGACTGGAAGTCAAGATATGACAACAGAAAAATCTTTAGCAGCAGACAGTTTCATTTGACGTATTTAGCGTCTGGCAAAACATGATCGTGCACCATTGAACACGTTTGCCAGGCTATTTACTGTCTTAAAGTGTTCCTATCCAGTTGAAGACAGCAGTTTACCGTTAATTTTCAACCTTATTTAGGAAGGTGGTCTCCCACTCTCCATATTTGTTTTTCGTAAATACAGTGAAAACCCGCGCGAAAGAACCTACATTTTTTGAAGTCTGGCATAATAGGTTCTTGTATTTTGGAGTAATTATTGGTAATCTAGACTAAGTAGTTACTTAATTAGGTTCTTATTTTCTACGAAGGAGATACAGTTGTTGATTACCAGAAAAATTAATAAACCTTGGTTTAGTCGTTGAGTATACAGTATTTGCTTACATCTGTATTATGCATGTACAAATACAAATTTTTCTTGTAATACATATTTGTAATATAAAATTTTTTCTTTCAATATAAATTTGCAATCTCAAAGTCACACTCCTTGGTTAAAATGTTTATCATAATTTAACTGTAACCACATAAGAACCTGCTTGATTTTGCTTGGCTAAACAGGTTTTTCTATTTTTGGGTATTAAAATGGCAAATTTCTGCCAGCAGTTTCCTAAGCGACTTGGTTCCTAGCCGCGGGTATTTACTGTACTTCGTAAATACTTCAGGCGTCGTGAAATGTTGCAAAACTCTGCGGAAGCAGTGAGCTTTGGATATCCAAACCGGGTCACCCTACATGTACCTTGAAAAACAGTGACCCTCCACCCCATAGCCGGCCAGGGCTTGGCACGAGAAAAGACACGGGAGTTGGTCCGCTAGATTCTTGGACTAAAATTCAATGTTTTCATCCTGAAAATATCCGCCAAATATCTGGCAAAAGGGAGAATTTTCACTGAAGTCCTAAATCTCGAAACCCTGTCAGAAGTTTACCCCTGATTCAATTTACTTTTGTTGAAATCTGTTGAGGTCT